GCAGCCAGGAGATTCGATTCGTAACTGCTTTCATTTTTTTGACCCAACGCAGCGTAGCTTCATTGACTTCCTCGTGTAAAGTTTTCCGCATCTTTTGCTGCAGATTTTCTATTTCATTATCGCATCTCTCCAAGTACTCACACTTATACGGTTGGATCTTCTCAACTGTTGTCTTGCAGACATTAAACTGTTCTGTCTTCTTACTTTGTCTGCTGCTTTCCAGCGAATGTTGCAGTTTAAACTTCTCCTAAATCGTTAACTCTTTGCGGTCCTTCCTTTAGGCCATAATGCTTCGCTAAGCGTAATAACCGATCCCAAATTGTTCAAAGCACGGTGTGGATCCAATAAAGCCAATTGCATACGACAACAACACCTTTCTTTTGCCCTCTGAGGCAGACAAGAAATAACGCGGAATAGCGTTTCTCGATTAGTGGACGTAAGCTTCAGTATCATTAAGGGGAAAAGGCCTATGAACAGGTCTTGAACGGGTCAGCTTAGAACCGGTTAATCGATAAAGCTTTACCTTTGTTAAAGGCATGTATAGCTCGAGGAATTCAGCACTACAGCAATTTGCCATGATGGGACCCATGCCCGACATGATATTAAGCAGATGGCTCAATCGAAGCTCTAGGAACTAGTTTAAGGACCGCACGCCAAGTGTGTTTGTGTTGTAATAGCGATTGTTTTGGTGGGTTGCACCTCACATATTAACATCGCATTTATGGGTTCTCGGATGGTGGAGATGCATAGGCCCTCAAACTCCTGCTTGTGACCTGTGCAGTGCTTTGGCACCTGATGCGTGCTTGTGTGTGGGTGTGAAAATACTTCACAACAAAACGGTCAAGAGCCATTTGTGGACGCAGACCCATGGGGACACATTGTACGAGGTAACTCGACGCACGTGAACACGGGTGCGCAGGTGCGCATAGACAGACAAAGAACATGCTGCATCATTCAATGTCTGCGAAGCCGTCAAATGCAGTGGTTGTGGATTAGGAGAATTTCACACATAGCAAAAGCCTGCTGTACACACTTTGTTGTTTGAATGATCGACGACCATTGCGCCGTAAACCTTCATATGGGCAACTTATCCAGGTTGGATTAGTGCTGACTGTTACGGCACAAGTGGTCAAATTACAGAGGTCTGCTTCCATAATGTTTACATGGTAAACGTACAGTACATGACTAAACACGGTCAACTTACATTGAGGATCAATATACAGATGTGGTCAATTTGGGAGGCTCTACTATGACTGTGTTAGAACCCAAGGGGCAGGCGGTAACTTGTTTACTGCTAAAGTGGCTTACACTAGGTGTGATCGTTCATACCTTGGACGCGTCCGCTCATCTGCGTGATCTCCATGGAGTGTTCCCCAACTAGTGCTTGCCTATGCGTTCACTCCTCGTGCGCATGGGACTGTAATCCTGATGTCATCTTCAACTTTGGGGAAGTCGACAGGGCTTGCTGTTGGTGTGTCATCTTGCACCACCACACTACTTATACCCAGCGCAGTAGTATCTACCTCTAATCCACTACAACTACACAATGTATCACGTAAATATCCTTTGCTTAGAGTGTCGTGCCATTTAGCTGGATTTAAAAGCACTGTTCCGTAGGAAGCTAGTCAATACACCCAAACCTGCTTCATCAATTATAGCCTGGACATAGATTACCCACAGTGAAACAGTCGATAAGTCTGAAAATCATCCGCCTGCGTATCGATTTAATTTACGTGATAGAAACGTAAGAATTCACAACAGTTTACTGTAAGTTCCCAAGTAGCTTAGGTAGATTACTTAAAACAACTTAAGAGGTGATGGGTAGGTCATTTTGGATTACACGTTGTGGGATTGGATTAAAACGCGCAATCCCAGGGTTTTTGGGCGTGCAAGACCCAAATTTCAATTTTAGGGGATTTTGCAGCACGGCCTCGTGAAACGTCAGCTGACCTACTCCATCGACACAGGTTCTTGGCTAGCCATCTAACTTCAGGCTGTTTTCTCTTACTTGTATAAATATGGAAACAAGAAAGCAAGCTATGTAATTTGTCTCAGTGTGACAGTATATAATGCGACACACCGTTAGCACTACCTGCCTTAGCCTGTAAGCAACGTGGGTGACGGGACCGTTGGTTTCGCGGGGAGTGATAATTCGATATTTTGATGCAATGTTTCTTTTCTATTGGTAAATACCACACAGTTAAGTTTCGTTTTCTGTTATTCCTGACATAAGCAGACACAGTACACTGCGCTAATTTATCACGTTTTAAAAGTTCTTTTAGCGGTGGTTATAATGCCATACACGAATGAGGAGCTTATAGTGTTAGCGTACAAGTATGACCCAACCCTAACCTTAACTATGGATCCATAATTATCTGCATTATCATAAAACACATTTAGATTCTGAGGTTTGAACGGCAGACAAAAGAAATCCAAATCCTAACATCAATTTGTACTCACCATCCGATCTCGCCCTTATTCCTGGCATTTTACACCAGCGAATCTGGCGCTTCGGCAGATAACCGATAGGCTGCCGCGAAGTTATCGAATTAATGTGCTCCTGGTCGTCCTTAGTATACATTTTTACGTGTCGGTTATTGAAACCATTTCAAGTGCCGTTTTACCTAATAAGTACTGCTTCATGACGTCTTGAGAATCGAGTTCCGTTAAGCGCAAAGGTTATGTTTCCCGAGAGAAAACGCATTCTCGGCATTTGTTATGGTTACGCTGGAATTTTTCTCGACTGACCCAGTGTGTAATCGAATTGTGTCGCACTGTGAATGCCATAGGTCTACCAGTCGGTCACTCAGAACACTCCAAGAAGCAATCTAGTGAACATTAACCAGTCATTCAAACCGAGCGAATGGCTATTGATCATTCAATCAACATCATCATCATCATTATAAATGTTAGCTGCAGGTGGGAAACACTTCAGTTGTTGTACCGCAATACAAAAGAAAAGAAAAAAGGGACAGAGATACGCCGGCTGAGTCACTGGTAACGGATAGACATCGTTCCAGAGAGCTAACAGTCAGCTAATGTGCCACAAAAAGGAGTTATATTATGGCTAATAAATGAGAATATGTTTGGAGAGTGAGGCTAAGCGGGAGGACGAAGGACAAAGAAATGTATAACACACACACACCATTGAAGTCGAATCCTAACCATGTCAACAGGTGTATCCAGCCAAACGTGTTCATCGTCCTTTAGTCCCAAACTAGCGAGTCGAGACGCTCCAACTGAGGCCAACTCAGAAGTGAAGGCCTTCATTCCTCTCGACCAAGTCATGGCTTAGCCACCTTTCCTCTTCTTCCATCCACACTCTCGGAGCGCAAACCACGTACGTCGCAGGAGTCGCTGAGCTGTCATGCGTAACATGTGGCCGAGCCATCGGTGCCTGATGCGTGAAATAACGGAGCTGAGCGGTTCATTTCCTTTTCCTGTGCCGTAAACAAGGCGTCAAACAAGCTGGTTGCTCACACGGTGTTCCCACCAGATGTGAGCTAAATTGCGAAGGCACCGGTGATCGTAACTAACCTCCCTATTTCTATTGATCTAATAGGTTAAGTTTCACAACCGTACAGTAGGGTCGACGGTACTGCTGCGATGTACGCTCTACCCTCCCTGGAGAGGTCGATCTCGCGCCGGCATCATAAGTGGCGAAGGTTAGCAAAAGGGTCTCGTGCTTTTGCTATATGTTTTGGGACCTCGTCTTCAGTTCTTACAGCTCTGATACAATTGCCGAAGTAGTTTTAGCTTTGAACCACTTCTTGCTGATCTTCAACAAAGGTCAGCGCAGGGGGAGGTCCATGCCAATCTTGGAGGTTTGTACTTTGAGAGTGCAAAGCAAAGCGCGAAACGGTTGACAGTCAGTGCTAATCCGTCCTGCGCCTGAGCTGTCACAGATGAGGGCAATATCGCCTGCATACTCCAAATCAAGAAGCCGTTTACCTGGGAGCAGCTCCACATCTTCTAAGTCATGTCCAATGAATGCGATTCCCATGACTTCGTCAATAGTGAAACTGAAGAGGAAAGATGAAAGCGGGCATCCTTGTCTCATACCACAGGAGATATTGAAGGGTGGCGACAGCTTGGCGTAAGCCCTCACTCATTCAATACATGGGAAATGTGTCACACGGAATTGTCGGCCAACATTTCGTGAGTGCAAATATTTGTGTGGATGTTTGAACATCTTCTAGCAGCAAACCGTTTGATTTCCATGTGCCTTGCCGCAACTTTTTGTTGCAGCCGTCATTGAACGCTCAAATTTTGGGCATCAATCAAATTGTTGATGCAGTTGCCTTAGTTTTGTCATCATTTACACAATCGAGTTTCATTGTGCTAGTTCTTGTCTGACTAGATTCGCTTATGCACGAAACGAAATTAACACTAACTACGAAAGCAGTTTCAGATGTCTAGGGTTTGAAATTACTTGTGTTGCGTTCATATTCTTGTGTTATGATATTATTCACAATATGGCGATTACAAACTCTTTTCCCTTTTTCCGCAATAGAGGTCTGCTCTCATGTTACGTACTTATGCCGGAATATAAGAAAGCCAAGACAACGTGCAGAAAGTTATTCTTCTGGCTGGATTATAGCCTCCATCGTTTCATCAGGTGCGTTTGTTTTCCCTTTTCTCATGGATGGGATTTCACACCAGTAGTTTTCGTACAATATGTTGCTTTACAGCGTCTCTCCAACTTGGACTTCATTGTTTTAAATGTGGTGTACAGGCACTAATGTAGGCACATAGGTTTGCATGTTGGATGTCCAATTTCCCTGTATATGGACTGCGACACACTGGGTTAATTAAGTCTGAGCTTTCCTTCTTATTCGGCTTCAATCAAAATGAACTACTGTACAGCATTCAAAATATATAGATGCTTTGTGCTTCTTCATATCAACGCTAGACTCCAAGACCGGTAAATATAATGGATGAACGCTTTTTGTATTCCGAAATATAAGGTAAATTTTCCAACCTGAAAGAAGACCGTAACCCAAAAAGCTTTATGCTGCGCTGACACGGATGACCGTGGGAGAATCCCGAAATTCCAAGTGCTGTTTAGAGCTAGGGATGTTTTTTACGAAAACCAACCAGGTACGATACCGGTCTTGTAGTACAATATTCGTAATCAGAAATAACAAACGATGGTAACAAAAGCCACGTTTTGCGCTTGAAGCATAATCAAAACGTAACCAAATTACTAGCCTATACAGAACCTGATTGTATTCTTAGCTTTCCAAAATCAGGAACTCCTAGCCTGTTTCAAGCTGTTCCCAAGTTTTTGGCTAAGTTTCCATTGCTTTTTTGACACGGGACTTTAAATCACGCGTTGTCGTTTTCTTGAACACCATTTTCATCTACTGCAAATATACAAGATTTTGTGGAAAAATTTTGACCTCTTTTTATCGGAAGCTCTTCAAGACCGTCTTACTCACCACCTTTTGATTACTAAGTCGAGATACCACGCACCATTTGCAATTCGTTACTTTTGGCTAAGAAATTCTAGTCCGTTTGAAACCAATGCTGAAGAAATTTTTTCTTCTAACTACTCTGTCCGAAGAAAATAACCCCGAGATTCTGTTTACCAATTTGCGCTTAGTGCTGACGAATGAGGATCTTTGCGATCGAGTGACAGCAATGCATTCTTCCCTTTTGTTTATACATTTATAAAATTTTGCTGTTTTGATGACGTTATTTTGCTTCATTCGCAGTTGATACTGTAAAGCGCTGAAAATGCACCCTTTCGGGTGAATAAAGCTTAGCTTGACTTAATTAGTACTGGGTAAGATTCTCTACTCCAACAATTGCAGAAATAGTTAGAACCGGGATAACTTAAATGGTAATAAATGAGGTTAATGCATTAATTTGTTTAAGTCCACTGAGTTCACAATTTTTTCATCCTGTTATCTGAAATATCACTGAAGTGTATCTGCGTTTCTTTACAGGATTGCTCCCAGTTGGTTCTTTGTTACCATACTGTTTATTGGCTTATTTCCATATCTAACCGATGGGCCACTGTATCCGCAACACCCCAGAGCAAATACTGAGCTTGTGGTTTGCAGAGATCATTGGTGGATCACGTTTCTAAACAACTGGTTGAAAATGGATAAACCGGTGAGTTTGCAAAAACTAAGCTGGCTGCTCGTATGCATGTAGCGACTAACAGCACTTCGAATTCGTAGATCATACACAACTAGCCGAGATGCAGCTGAAGTGCCGAGTTAAAATATTTAGACTTTGGAAATTTATATCTCTGATCTCAAAGGGAGGCTGTTCCCTTGACGGAGCAGGTTACAGCTAACCGCTGTTTTCTTCGTGTGTTGACATAATCGGTAGAATGTGACTATGAATGAGGAGATAAAGTTGGTACGTGGATGGCGTTTTTGTCCCATTCCGTTGGGAGGAAGATCCAACGTCTTCGGCAGGATTAGTCTGTCCTGTGATATACATACATCGACGCAGTTTTCCCAAGTGATATCATCAATTGGGCCATCTTTGTGGTTCATTGCGGGGTCTACCTTTGGGGTGTCCGTGTTGTGCGGTAATTTAAATTTTCTCGGCGGACATCCAGCTTTATAGGGACTCAGGTAACATTTGGAAGGAAAGACCTAATGTTGGCAGCTGATGAAGACATCTATACCAGAAGCTCAGTGGTGGGTTTTCTACGCCATAGAATGCTAGTAGGAACTACGGGTAGAAGTGACTGCATTAGTGGTGTCGTGTAGCTTCAAATTATGAATTCCGAACCATTATTAAAATTTTTGATGTTAGCTACATATTTCTTTTGTGTGTTCACCTAACTAACCCTCTCAGTGTCATAACTCAAACACTTATTCATTAGGAAAATGTTCCATTCCAACGACAATATATTCTCATTCTCTGACTTCAGTAAGCCTAACATATTTATCAGTAAACTCTCCGGGGTTAGACATCAGATCGAAGTGTTTCCTACCTGCAGTTCAATATTGAGCGCTGACAAGATGGTACTGAGCAGTTCATTAGCAAACGATAACGCAAAGTATTTACAAGCAATCTACACCTTTGCTGGACGACTAAGGTTCATGCATCAGGATACGGTGGATCCAACTACCTCGACGATCGTTGAAGGACGAATGCAATTACTGGTTTCGGGCGAAGTGTAAAAGAAATATAGCCTTCCGGTTGGTAATGCATAGGGTTCGAAATAACGACACGAGCGAATGAGTGCCACTGGCTCAGTAATCGTGCAGTACACCACAGCCTAAGTGACGGTTGATGTGACCGATCCCTAGAGCGTTTCCAGGATGGTGATAAGCATGACGACGAACCTCCTTGCTGTTACGTCTCTACGATGTTTTACCGCGTCACTAATTACACGTGGAATCCTGGGCAGCTTAACGTGCACAATCCACTTCCTTGGCATCGTCAAACAGACGAGATAACGTAACTCCAGTGAACACTAAAAACTAGCTGTCCTGTTGCTGTTCCGCGCTGCTTGGGATATAACCTTCACATTGCTATCGAGCTTATCTTCAGATTGCTAACGAGGCGTGTGCTCATTCACTTTAGTGCACACAGTGTACTATTCACGTATTTTTATGTACTTAGTCTTAACGTAAATTCCATATGTATCACTGAAATGCGGTCAAGAATGTGCACGCTACCCCAGCGTCCATTAAGTGAAAGCTACACGCATCCACAGAATTCTTTTATGTGTTCGGATGCTGGTGGTAAGCGAAATTTTGTTTGGTACCAAATCTGTCGATGGAATCCACCATCCACCAGTTCATACATGGGCTTAATGCTCACTCCCGCATGGGTGGTAGTATTTCCCACAAATTCACTCAGTCACTTGCACCCGACGATGCCAACCGATCGGGTTGCATTCCGTAAACCATGTGATGGTTCATTGCATTCCAACCAACTGGGATGTTCATTAGGCCTGTCTAGATTGCGGCAACGTGCTTAAATACGAAGTAGGAACGCGCAGTACTCTCATGCGACGCATCTGATATGGAACTCGAGGATCGGGACTTCTGAACTTCGGTGTAGTGTTTTTTCCAGTTGGGACCGGTAAACGTGTTCCACCGTAGTTCAACACGCTCGAAAGCCCAATTGTGTAAGATCATTGTTTGGGATTTGCTGCAATCGACAACACGAAACATAGTGTGCAAGGAGAATGCTTTGGATTAGTGGCATGATTATGCCAAGTCTCTTAGAGTGATAGGTAGAGAACATTCAAACCATCAAGAGAAATCTGTAGGGTAATGTACATATGTGTCTAAGCACCCTTAGACTGCAGTGAAAACGAAGCAGATGTGCCCATAAGTACGAGGAACGAAGGCAGATCAGCGGATTGTTGAAGTGGTTTCGTCCGATACACAAGGACCACGTGGTGCAATTTAGATAAGTCTGTACCATCAATAAACAATACTTGCATAAGGATATAACGTATTTCTCAAAATTGCGAGATACAGACAAAGTGGTTAAACTGCTCAAATTATACAACGGGATAACGGGAGATGATAGAAAATTGTTCGATATTCTCAAACTTGTTATCAAGGCAATTTTAGAGGTCAGAGAATTAGAAAGCGGAAAAGTAATAAATATATCCAAACATCAAATAATACGGCTATCCGTAAAACCATCTGCTGGGGTTACTTCCTTTGGGAGCAGTTCCTCAAAAGGCTTCATCCGCAACACTCAACGCCCCATTTGGCCGTGTGCCGAGGTGACTAATGAGCAAGTAAGCCGGAACCATTTAACCTCATTTTTGGTGCTGCTGTCATAGGTACAGAGAATATGCACTCAAACCATTCAGCCCGTTTCGACATCTGACTTATTTGAGTCCGGCATCTTTTTATATTATTTTCTCGCCAGTGTGTGTGTGGCAGTTCGCTTTGCGTGGGTGTTAGTAAGTAGCTTGGAAAATATCAATTCGTCACCTCTGTAGATGCGCCCATGCGTGACTAACAATGGAAAGAAAAGAAATGGATTGCTTGCTGCGTATCCTCTCACAAAGTCCAGACGTGACATGATCGAGAGGTTTCAACGGCGTGGATCCAAATCCGTTCCAGAGTTGCGGGACCTAGCTTACCTCCTACGGCTTCAACGGTTGAACCTGTTCCCTTTGGATTAACGTCATCGCCTCGGAGGTATGATGTTCACTCGGCGTATTCTACTAGGTGAGCTGGGGAGTGAGCTGCACTTGTTCTTTCGTCCCAACACAAGGTGTGCAAAACTTTTCAAACCGCGGCGAATCCGTGTGCGGTCCGATCTGGCCCTATCCACCCGGGTAGTGTATGACTGGAACAGCTTGCCAGAGGTTGTCGTCGATGCGGAGACAGAGAAATGTTTAAAACGACTGTTGGATACCCACTCTCTGAATGTGCAGGGATTCTGCTGCCCACAATACAACCATAACGATCTTCTGCGGAACCTGGTTCCTCAATGATCTCAGCAACCTACACAACGTTCGAAAAGTGACGGAGCTGACAAAGGAACTACCTTCTGCTCTCTACCAACCAATGCACCAATGAAATAGACTGAAACAACAGTGAGCAAATGGTATACGCCTAGCAAAAATGAGTTTTGCTTTGACGGTTATCTGATTCAGTTTGTGCAACCAAGTGCAGAGGAAAAGTATGCTTTGAAGTAGTCATAAACGGACCGGTTCCTGGATGACTTTCAGGTTCTGCCAATCAAAAAGCAGAGCTATTATCCAAGTGGATTTCACAGAGCACGAAAAACTGCAACGCGCACCTGCGTTGTGACCATCAAAAAGGAGTAGAGGATAGTAGAGCATCAATTCCATCCGCCCCCGGTTTCAGTCACCATCACAAAGGATCTGGTCGAAGAAGGTGTTTGGAGTAGATTGAAGGAGAATCAAAGGAGTAGGAACAATTCGTAGCTGTAAGTTAGCGAACTGTAAGTGGGAAGTGCTTATGCACGTAGATCCATTCGAAAAGAATTCTAAAACACGGATAGGGCGAAATTCTAGTATACCGGTTGCTTTGTTTGCACAAACTCCTCATGCTCCTACAGGATACCGTCTGCCAGATACTAACTCAAAACTACTGCATGTAATGCTTAAATACACTGAAATGGAAGCGCCACCTTGTGTATAATTATGAAATATCGAAAGTTTGAATGCACAATAGGCTACCTGATTTCGAATGTGCTTCGCAACTAGCTGACGTCTACCCAACTGATAAACTCCGCTTTGTCATGTAAGTTTCGCCAGGACTAACCCACACCACTTTTACCGCGGAGGCTGTATTGCAAACGCTGACGTCTCTACGCAAATACAGCTCGCCGGGAGTCGACACCATTCGTCCAGAGGCACTGAAAGCAGCAGCAAGTCAACTGGCAGGACCTTTAGCTCGATTTTTCCAGCGTTGAGTAGGCCAGAACCAAGTTCCGCCATGTGGAAGCTTGGAATAATAAACCCGATTCACAAAGGAGGAAGCAGAACTGATCCCTCCGACTACCGCCCAGTATCCCTTCTTCCTATACCCTCCAAGGTCATGGAATCCATAGTTGCTGATGCACTGGTGTGCTATCTGGAAAACTGCAACCTCATCACTCCTGAACAGCACGGTTTCCGTCGATAGCGGTCATGTACAACTAATTTACTAATTGCACGCAGTAGTTGGACCGAGGCAGCTGACGCTGGAGAAGGTGTTGATGTGATCTACCTGGATTTTTTCCAAGGCCTTCGGTCGTCTAGACCATCGGATACCACTATTCAGGCTGCAGCATTACGGAATCGGCGACTCTCTTTTAAGCTGAATCGCCAACTTTCTACTTCAACGGCAATTAGTGGTAAGAATTCGGAGCTCTTTATCGGATCCCATACAAGTTCAGTGTGTTATGCCGCAAGGTCCAGTTCTAGATCCACGTTTGTTTTGGTGTTATAAAAGACTTTGCACAGGTAAGCGCTTCAAATTTCCTAATGTTTGCCGACGATATCAAGATCTGGCGCAGGATCCAGGAGAACGTCGACCAACATGTGCTTAAGAGTAAACTAGATACGGTGTATCAATCGTTGACCAAAAACTTATTGCATTTCAACGTCAGTAAATGCAAGGTGCTTTCCATCCGACATCAGAGCAGCTACTCATGCCCACTCGTAACGAATAAACTACAACAATCTACTCTCGAATGTGAATTGGGCGTGCTGGTTCAAGATGACTTGGGTTGCTCCAGGCAATCCGAGAAGGCCTCGAAGACCGGGAACCAACACGTCGGACTGTTGAGGCGGGCGTTTGGACAAATAAACAGCTCCGTATTTCGACAAATGCTCAGTGCGTATGTTCGCCCCCATGTCGAATATGCAATTCAAGCCTGGCACCCATGGCTGAAACACGACCTTAATGCTTTGGAGCAGCCACAAAGTCGGGCATCTGAAAACGTAATTGAGATGAGCAATCTTTCCTACCAGGAGAGGCTGCAACGACTGGGGGGTTGTTCAATGGAAGCTATCGCAGACTACGAGGTGACCTGATTATGGCATACTTGATTCTGCGATACCCACATCATGTGTGCCGCCCTTTACTGCAACTCAGCAGCAATACAAACCTGAGGGGCCACTCAATGAAACTCGCTGTACAGTATAGCCGCCTGGAGTGCCGCAGAAATTTCTTTTCCATTCGTGTCTGTCAGCCGTGGAATGCTCTGCCAGAATCGGTCGTCTCTGCACCGACACTAACAGTATTTAAAAGACGGACGATGCACTCATCCTCCTACAGTTTGTTACTTAACACTACGTCTCTATCCTACACCTGGAGTTTACCACGGAATTATTTGTTGTTAACTTGGGTGCTGTGAATCTAAGAGGATCGCAGGACTACAGCGGAGCAAACGATAAGTCCTCATTTTCATATTTCAAATATTAACTATTTTACTATCCTTATCATCATTATTGTTATGTTGATATCCCCACAGACTATCCAACGGGACTTGTAAAGCAAAGCTTCTTAACCCGTATAAATTCATTGTTCATTGTGCACTGGAGTCACAATTGTCGTTGACATGGTGTTCCAAGCAGCGATAGAAATAGTGACATAACCCTATTGTGCACAGGCGTTTTGATCTATACTAAGCTGAGTAACGTATTCAGTTTTCTGTCACGCTGTCTACGGCAAGCTTAATCTTCATGGCTCGCTGCTAGAAAAGCATTATTCTGTGTTGGCTCATTGGTTTGCATTCGTACGATAATCACACCTTCTCACTCTATTTCAGTGCATGTTGTGGACTTGGTATCTGTCCAACGATTACCAATTTAGTGTGATCCTGACCCCAATCTTCATCATCCTCTTGGCAGTGTAAGTATAGGTGTCGTTTCCTAACTTGCTGTAATCATACCGTTGTGGTAGCATTTGGTGATATTAGTCAATCTCTTTCCGATTAAGCATTTAATAAGTTGCCAACAAATGGTTTAAGTAGGTGAAGGTATCAATCGGGTTGGCAGTTATTAAGCAGTGCTCCACTCCTCGTAAGTATGACTATAACGGTACGCTGCAATATCCTTTCCATGAGAGGTTGTAAAATTAAGTTCCTTCCCTCGGTTTTGGACAGATGTTGCTGATTAGACGTTCGCGGGAGCTGGTTGTCATAATGGAATACAGAACTGCATCCAAACTGTTTAACTGGTAGTTCAAACAGGCAAATCCACAGCCAACCAGGTGTAGAATTATCATCAACTTCCTAACACCGGCCCTCATTCGAACATTGCAGTTAGAGTCTAAGTGTTACTCGTACTATCCAGTTGCTTTGTATCAACTCACTACGAGAGGATAGTCAGTGGACCATTTGGATGAGTTTCATGGTATGCTCAGAGAAGTGGCACAAACCACCTTGCCCAGAATTCCGTCTGACATTCAGAAAGACAAATGATTTATCAAAACGATTCCAACTACACACTGCCTTTCGATTGCTTTGTTGCGTGGCGGGAATCCGAGACTAAAAAACATCGCGATTTCTTTAACCCCGACTCTGACTAGCATTGACTATAGCGTTTACTACTTATTCAGAGCCAAACTCGTGCTACATTCAAGACTGATGCCATTCTCTTGTTCCCGTATTTTTTGTAAAAACAAAGTGTTCAGATGCCTCTAACAGCTGTTTAGGTACATTGATTGACTAGGCCTAATCACAACCGATTAAGATGCAAGAACCGTTCATCGATTAAAGCTATACGCCATTCGTCAGAATGCTCAACCAAATCGCTGCAGTTTGACTGTATTTTGATGTTAGCCTAAGTTGGATTGAGCTTAGTAACCTGCTATGTGGCTTTAACTCTCATCCATTTCCTCTACTTATGTCACAGGCACTGGATGCTGGGCATTCTGTTTGCAGTTGGCCTAGTCATCAGTGCGGCCATTGCCTCGTTTGTCCTCACATACAAATATGAATACGGACCATCGCCAGTTCCACCGTGAGTTTCCATGCATCTCATCTTTGTCGTCAAGGTCACAAGTCCAACTATCGTCAGTCATTAACCGGTTCAGTGACACATAGAATTAGTTTCGCCTTTCATTTTGCAATGTTTGTACGTGGCAAGATAAATGCATTTACGAGACAGTTTCCGAGCACACATTGCGGGATTTGCGCGTTTCTAGCATCCCAGTCGGTATGATTCTGGTCTACTTCCAATCCTATAATCCTCCTGAACTGTGCGCACAGTTTAACGCCTCCTAAGCTCAAAACAATGGCGTATTTCTCAAGTGTATTGTTACAGTAAAGCCAGCCATTTAGGTTTCGCCATATAGTTCACACGACCCATTAGAATAAACAACAAGTAGGCGATAACGTTTCGCTTGGCTTGGACTTTCTGGTATGTTTGCCGAAGTACGTTGCGGGCTGCAACCAGCGCGAAGCATTTCGTGGTAATGGATGAGCTAATGTACACAGAACAAAGCAGCTTATTTTGCAGCTGGGTACCAAGTATTGGTCGAGTCTATAGCTACCCACAGTCGAAAGACGCAAACGCGGTATTTGCTAAATTGTCCTTTTTATGCTAACGATCAACTGTATGGTAGCATTAGGTAGCGCCGTTATTGTTCTAGTGTTTCTTGATAAAACCGTGCTGATGTAATCATCAGAATATCTACCATATATCTGGAACCCAGAATCTGTTTGCCACTGAGAAGTTTGCTTTAATATCCGATGTAATTCCTTTCCGACCATAAAGGTAACGTTGTTTTCGCGATTAACAGCTTTAAAGTCACTGATGCAACAACACCTCTTGCTGAATGAAAACATGCGCAGTTTCCGAAACGAGACTGCTTCCGTCACAGACATGTGATTCACCAGTTTTTCTGCCAAGCGACACAAGCATTATAAGATTGACTGTCACCAGTCACACAATGCAGCACAATACAGCCGTACTTTCCCCTCTCCTTTCCCTATAACGACGAAATTGGGATTTCCTGTCGTGTTCGCCTTCTTCTTCGGGATCGAGAGAAAGCCATTTCGATCATCGCTTGCCTGTAGTACCTTCGAAAGACAAAGGCTCAATACAGTCTTGTTGGTATCTGTACTTCATCTGCCTAGCTAATAGGGCTAACGGTGTATGCGTTTCGCAAGCCCATCTACGCAATGGAATATTTTGATTTGGGCTAACCTACGTGGTAGGTAATAGCGGATAAATTTCTGGTCGGTTTCTCTACTCCCTATAATCCATACTGTGACAACCATAAGTTAAAAGAAACTTTGTGTCATTTCTGAGCGCCCATCTGCCAGGGGTCATCTGTGAGTTCACTGACCACCAACTTCAGTATTGGATAGCCTATCACACCTGTAGAAGTCGGGAGGGAGTTCATGTGTGGCACCAGCTGTTGGCACGAGGTGTAACATGCATCATATGATCGCAGATGAACCAGGCACTTTTGCGGAATCTCCAACCACCTGTAAGCTACAACGACAACCTCGTCATCAATACTATCATCTCTCCATTACCACAGTGCTTCATGTTTTTACCTGCATATCTGAATAAATAAATTCTTAAATTTCCTGGAGAGTCGACATCTTGACTATGAAACCTAAGCGTTTCTCCCGGGTGTTAATCTTCTTCCCTTCTTCCACCCAAGTCACAAAAACTGTGCTGGTCGTAAATCCACTCTGTAGCAAATACTTAGGTTACGATGGTAGAGAAAATTTATGAGTAACGTCTGTAGACTCTCTAAATGTCAACAGAATTTTCGGTAAAACCGTTAATTCCCTTCTATAGTTCCAAACTGGGTAACATGATCAGTGTTGGTAGGTGTGTGCATTTCGTACTGCTTCTTCAATACAGTGAAAAATAACCGTGGTGCAATTATCTACCTGACCGGGGGAGCGACGAATAACGCTTGAGCTTCAAACTGAGTAAGGCATTTCAGCTTCTACTTCTGTGGTAGCCTAAAGTTGACAAATAATTGCTCGGAATCTATACACCTAGGTTTATCCGGTTTACTGCGACGGTCTTTAACGAAGCACTGGATGCCATTACACAAGCTGTGTCTGAAGACGCGTGACCAGTAGGAATTGAGAACTTGCGGTCACAGGACGCATGTGCGTGAACGAAATGTCAGAAGCCCGAATGCTGGGCGGCCTCATGCTAAAATCATTTTTGTGACGTATTCCTCTATTCGAGGAGTCTATTTCCTATCGTTTCTGCCAGGTGTACGTGACTGTGCATTCTCTTGAATAAGGCTCAATGCGTGCAGAAAAGTGGTACCATACTCGACGACGCCGGAAAATTTAGACAACTCAAGAATCTATGGAATATAGCTTATGCTCACACAGGGATGGCTCGTCACTATGTGACGTTTTTCTGCCATCATGTAATCGATGGTGACACGTATAGTTACATGAGACCAAATGGTAGCACTACTCCGCATTTGCATGAGCTACCTAATTCACAATGGGATCAATGGTGTACTTTACTTGTAAAAATGTAATGCTTAACAAGTCCCGTGGGATGGAAATTATTGCGAAAAGTAAGCTGCAAGCTACTGTGAAAAGCGTCTTGATGGAGTCACCATAGACTTTTATAGAATAGCGGAGATGTTGGCGTATTAAAAGTAGTAATCCACAAATCCATTGTTTTTGGAGTTTGGCAAGACACCGTTTAATTGCGTTTTGTAGCCCCTGGCTAACATTCCATAAATGAAATGCAAATGGGACAACGCTTGGTTAACTCGTTTTTAAAATATCGCCAGCTTGGGAGCAGAGACGACATAATTAGGAAAGGCGTTCCAAAGCTGGCACACGCGAAGGGGAAAGAAATTTCTACGGCATTCAAGTCGGCTAGACTGTATTTTCAGTTTCAAAGGATGACCTCGTAGGTTAGTGTTTTGGTTCAATTCCAGCAACGGTCGGCAAATGTGGTTTGGGTTCTTCAGAATTTGGTAAACCATTATGAGATCCCCCCACAAAAGCCGATATCGACTGCTGTACATACTTAAAAATTTCAGTCTAAGCTGATAGGACAGTTGAAAGAGTCCCCTGACATTCTTGGTTGCCTTTCGTTGAGGAGTCTCGAGAGCAACGAGATCCTGTTTCTGCAACGGCTGCCAAGCCTGGATAGCATATTCTACGTGCAGTCGCACGTAGGCGTTAAGCATTTGGGGGAATGATTTGGAGTTCAAATCGACCGAAGACTGCGAAGCGGGCCAAAGTGTTAATGCCGGTTCTCCCGCCTGCACTGCTTGTTTTGAACAAGTAACAGTGTTCTGTTGCAGCAATAAAGGCCAATGCGCATAACCACTGTATAGGTGTGTTTGTGTTCGTACCCAAAGAACTGTGAAAGTGACCGGGATTGGCATAAGTCGGGTCGAAACACCTATGGTGACACTACTGGTACCTATATTCGTTCCTCATTAACTCAACATGACATGTGGCGCAGCGCTGAGTAACATGGTATGCGGAACCCTTTCATCTGCCACCACTGTGTCGCATGGAGAAATTATTTCTGGTTATTTGACCACAGACGGGCGGATTTGCGAAAAATTGTGAGTGCCTTAGTTTATGAAAGTAATTCGGAAACTACAGCCCAGGTGCACATGGTCTCAGAGTTGCAGTTATCATCTAGATAGTGATTTTACAGAGTTGCTCATGAACCCGAGTGCTAGATGTGCACCAACTAGTTGATGTCCTCAGTTTAGGTAGTTGGATAGAAGCTTTCATCGAGCAACTGTTGTTGGACGTGAAAACATCATGATATGTGGCAGATGTCAACTTTCCTCAACTGCACCAAGAGCCTTTCAATTGAACTCAGCAGCTGTATGCGCACACCTGCAGTAGCCCAGCATTCAAGTCACGATAACGACATGCACTGTCCGCGAATATTTCATGGACGTGTGTGTACCACGAACTTATTGAAGTTTTCTCAGCTGTCCACGAACTTGAACTTAAAGTCGAATGGGCTTCTGAATGGGCTGCAGATGTTCACTTAGTAGGGCCAGACAACAGTTCGGACCACTTCGCTCAACTAGCTAGTGAAACTGGCAAACCCATTCCGTATACTACGTATGATGAGAAGAGCGTGGATTTTAAGGCTGGTTCCCTTGATCTGACACAGATAAGTTCGTCATCGCCTCACCCAAAGAAATGATAATTTGCCGACCTTTCAGCGGTCGGCATAATATCATACCCAACTCGCACACCCCACGACTCAGTGCTAAGAACAGAGAAACTTTTCTGCATATGCACCATTGCACAAGGTCTCCGGAGCAAGCTTGTCGGACTGCGACTACATCATGCCTCATATGCCTGGGACCTCATATTCGTAACGGAAACTTGGCTGCATTCCGAAATCAACGAAGCCGAAATTGCGATATATGGCATGTCCCTCATTCGAAACGATCGCGGTGGGGTAATTCTGTACCATCTTAATGACTTTCAATGTGAATCGGTGGTCCATCGGTAAACTCTGCTCAGAGGCTCGCTATGGTGCAGTCTGCGACTAAGGCCCAAGGACACTTGCCTTTTAGTTATTGTTTATCGCCTCCCAATATCCACCCCACAGATAGACTGTCGCCTGACACTGGCATTGGGAAGGATCCTACTACGACGATAAGCCATGTTCCCATGTCAGGCGACTTCAGTATTAGCGAGTTGTAAGTTCCGGCAGCCTTCAACGAACAATTCAAGGCAGACCTACAAGAAGTTGTTGCAAGTATTCCACTCTTTACTCATGTCACTTCGTCCACCAGATTCAGAATGGGAAACAAGCCGTCTTTGCTTGATCTAGTGCTCACGTAGGAAGAGCTCATGATCGAGATATCAAAGATGGAGAGCACTCTGGGCCGTGTAATTACGTAACAATAGTTGTGTGTATTATGCGGAAGATGCACAAGAACATAATGATTTGTTTCGAAGAACCACACACTACGACAAACGCACAGAAAATGTTGGGGATGCCACCTGAGATTTTTCGGACAGTTGCTCCAT